TGCTATTTTCTGGATTAGCACCGCTGCTAGTGCTACGAATGATTCCTAGAGAGGTCTTTCGATCCGTCCAAATGAAGACGCTGTCGGTAGGAAATCTTTTTTACAGCTGCTTTCTTTATTCACTTTGGTGACTTGTGTAATGCTCACGTTATTGTGTAGTGTGGGCGCGAGGATTTGGATCACCTAAATGAGTATATCGACCATCAGCTACAGGTCGATGACAGCGACCTAAACACTAAATTTGAAGTGAAGGCGTGTGCCACGGGTGAAGTTCTCTTTCACATTCTTGCCCGCTCCGTGGTGGATCCACTGGAATTCAAGGAGGTCAAGATGCTCGCAACGGAGTCTTTGTCCAAGTTTCCTCCCCCACTTGTGATGCCGTTCGTGCTTGCACACGTAGTTGCATTCTTGCGAGAAGCAACCCCTCACGGAGAACAAGATTGTTCATGTATTGTCGAAGACGACAGCGTTCCAGATTCTTGTGGACTGGTGACAGCTAAGTTGATGGTGTACTACCTCAACAGAGTTTTTTCGGAGGATGAACACGCCTACAAAGATTGTGACATCAGTTCAAAAGCAATTGCAGTGCTGGTGCAAATCCTGGCACTTCCGGCCGATGATTCACTCGTTGCCGACCTCCAACGCGGTTGCATAGATTGCATATCGTTGATACTCTCCAGACTTGCAGCAAACGACAGCGGACAAGAAACGAAAAAAATGCCGAGTGCTGCATCACTTATGAACCTGCTGATAGCGTGGATATTCGGGATCCAGAATGGAGATAACGGAGAAAACAGTAAAACTCGTGATACTGATGGCATCGACTCACGAGTGCAAAGACTGCTCGATAGTATGTGGAGCGAAGCTCGATACGACCAATTACCACTGCAAGTTCGTATTTGCTGCTGCAATGTCCTACTCAGGTTGGGTTTGATTGTTATTTGATTAGCTTTTTCAGCTGTTCTAACAAACGATGGCGCTTATTTTGCAGCACCATATCGCGATCGGAGAACAGTGTCCTCGCAAGCTGGAAATCACAGGGATTCATTTCAAGAATTGCGCTCGCTACTGAACGCTGCGTAGAAGAAAATGTTGTCGTTGGTGGTCTACAGGTAAATGAGTTTCCTTGCTGATGATGTGTCTAAAAACACTTACCTGTTTTCCGACTTTGACGCAGATTATCTTTTCGTTCTTGTACAAGACTAGCGACCTATTCTCACTTGAAGGCAACGACGATCTCCAACTTGTTCGGATCTGCTTCGAGGCTATCGCATCTCTTCTTGAGGTTACACGAAGCGAATCTGTTGCAATGAACGGACTTAAAGTGGTTGGAGTACTTATTGGAAAATTTCCGGGGTTCATTGGAACGTTGTCATCGGAAGATCTCCAGCAGCTTATTGACAGGTATGATGCAGGCATTATTAATGAGAATAGCATGGTCTGATAACAAATTTGTACGTGTAGGTGTTTGATCAAGGTGCGTGACAGGCGAGTATCACCTGCTGTAACGGAGCTAGCTAAATCGCTGCTACGAGCGATGACTCCTCCGTAATGATGAGCCAGCAATTCTGAGAGGTGGCAATCTTCAACGTTTGATGGCAAATAGAGCAGTGATTCCAACACAGAAAACTTGAGTTTTGGAATGACCCTGATTGTCTGCAGAGGAGATTTCGGTTAACGAGAAGGAGGCGGTCGAGTCGCGGCGTAATACAGCGCCCAGGCACGACTGAGTCCGTCGTCCATAGGACACGTGCTTAGCACCTCAAATGCCTTTTCACGGTCCAGGACACTGTAGTTGGCAAACAACAAGGAAGTCCAGCCAGACTGATTCGCCCTCCAGTCGTGCACGATCGGCAATCTACTCAGCACTTCGTCCCATTCCTCGCGGACGAAACGAGGCGGTCGGGAAACTTCCAGGATTGGAGACACCGGGATCATTTGGATGCCATGAATGCACTCTTTGTTGGGACTAAACCACGTTGTGTAGTCGCACTTGTTGTCAAAGAAGACGCCCGTGACCTTGTTCTTGGAGAAACCAGCGGGATGGATAGCAGGACCGTCATTCCGCAGCAAGAAGTAAGTGTTTACAGCGCGCACGTACACCTTGAGGATCAACTTTGCCAGCGCCTGTTGCTCTGCATTCTCCGTGACTTGGCCGTA